TACAGTCAACGACGGTCGCCGTCGCCGGGAAAATCTGAAAATCCTACAATGATCCCTTACGCGACGGTTGAAGAAGCTTCCATGGCGTTAAATCGGAACCTCACGAGATTCGAGACTGTTTGGTTCGATTACTCCGCCACAAAATCCGATTACTATCTCTACTGTCACAACATTCTCTTCCCAATCGTCGTTTATACCTTCGTTCCTCTTCCTTTCGTCTTCATCGAATTCGCTTCGGGTTTTTTCGATCGGTATAAGATCCAACCCAAGGTGAAAAACTCGTTCTCTGATATTTTCCGTACAGAGAGGTCATGAAGATGTTCCTTCTCTTTATTCCTCCATTGCAAATCGTTTCTTATCCTTTGATCCAAGTAATTTCTCGACTGTTCTTAAATTGATTTGATTCACTAAAGTTTTATATAGGATCTGAATTGACTGATAGTGTCTTTGTACCAAAATTGTTATATAATTTAAGGCGATTTTGTGTTAAATTATAGGTGATTGGGATTAGAAGTGGATTGCCATTACCAACTTGTTTTGAGATTGTAGCACAATTAGTGGTTTACTTCTTGCTACTGGTTACATAGATTGTTGCATTGCAAATGGGGTTATGAGAAGATACATCATGGCCATCATGGATATGCTGCTCCGTATGCACATTGGGGTGAGGTATTGTTTCTCGGGATACCGACGTTTTTAGGACCCGCGATTGCTCCTGGACACATGGTAACCTTTTGGTCCAAATGGAAGCCATCGAAACTCACACCGGGTAAGCCACTAGCCTTTTCTCATACTTTTGGTTGAGCAAGAAAATATCCTTCAAATGATAAGCAAATAAGTTTGTTTGGTGAATGAAACTGATTTTTCGGGTGTACTTGAGCAAAAATTGACTTTTTCCGTATCGAAGATATGATTTCCCATGGAGTGTGACGAACTACGTTGGAGGAAAAAGCCAGAGCAACTTTGGTTTGGTTTTTACTTACTGCGATTACATCTATGGAACTGACAAAGTGAGTGTTGCGCGAACTTCAGTTCCTTTACGCTTAGCATCTACAAATTCTGCATGAGACATTGACAATATGTTTATATGTTCTTACGTTTCATTAGGGTTACTGGTTCCGAAAGAAGCTTCTTCAGCGGGTACTAATGAGTGATGCAAAGCTCAATTAGTGTTTCTAGGGAACAGAGGAAAAGAAAGGAACATATTATAGTGAAACTTTCCCACAGGTTGTTTAAATGATGACAATTTGAATAGTTAACCAAACTTTTGGAGAGATTGTTTTCATCCTTCTCCTTTTACGGACAGAGAATTTTTCCATCTTGTTCCCTTTCTATGAAATCTAGATCTTGCCCGGATTTAATACCGAGAAGAACTTCCAACATGCTTACCGATTTCTTTTTGCGTAGCGATCTTCAGGGGCAAAAATAAGTAACCAGTCTTGTTTCAACAAATTCCGGAGGTGGGGAGTTGTTTTCATATTATAGGTAATGAAAGTAATGTTTGCAATAAAAACCCAAACTTTT